CAAGATCATGAGTTCGAGGTGTGCCGTGCCGCATTTATAATGGCATCCATGTGTCCAACAATTAAAGGAAGTTCGTGTTATCTGGCAGAGATCACTATCTCTCTCTCTCCCTCTCTCTCTCTCTCTCTTCCTCCCTCCCTCTCTCTCTCTCTCTCTCTCTCTCTCTTTCTCTCTCTCTCCCTCTCTCTCTCTCTCTCTCTCTCTCTCTCTCTCTCTCTCTTTCTCTCTCTCTCCCTCTCTCTCTCTCTCTCTTCCTCTCTCCTTCTCTCTCTCTCTCAGCCAGTGTCATTAGTGCACAATACATCTGTTGTTCTGATGAAGCTCAGTGCACATGAGCGTCTCCTGTGTGTTCTTCTCTTGGGTCGAGTCGAGTGAAGGTTCAGAATCGAGCAGCAGAGCTATACGGGATCGTCTGAGCTGAATAAAGTGCCATGAACCGCCGTCTCAGTATGTGCTGGACTCCGACGCTTCACACCAGTTCATCAGTGCAGTTTGACTCGGATCAAGCTATTCGGGTGATTTTGTATTTGTCTTTTTCATGTCAGACGTCCATCCCTCTTGAAGCTGATGGTGATTTTGTGTGAAACGAGCAGACATACGAGATCATTTTTACTAACAGAATGAGCTGTGAAGCGTTTCCAGATGTATCTAACTGAATTCCAGCCTACAGACGCATTTGATGCCAACATTGTTTTTCTCTCAAATGAAAGATGACTTTCACAGGCTGATGAAATTATGTATTTGTAAAACCAATTTAAGCTGCTTTTCCAGGGATTTTGTACATTGGTATTGCATGAAGTCTATTTTTTCTTTTATTTATTTTAAATATTGTCCCTTTGCTATTAGTGATTCGCTCCTGTTTGTTCTCAATGAACTGAACTCGGGCTCATTTTTACAAATTATGCTTTTTGTTTCAAAAGGGATGCGTTTTTCTTTGAATCATTCGAACTTAAGTATAAAGGTTTATTTTAACTCTGCCTTGTATATTTTACAGCAACGAATACATTGAACAAACATTGTCTATTAAAAGCGTGTTTCCTGCAGAAGTTTGTGTTGATTTGTGAGAATCCTGCGCGCGGTGGCGCCAAACACAACACCAAGCGCGGGAACGAAATATTGATATAATTATAAAATATAGATATAAACAACAATGATAACAGATGGATGGATAGACAGATTCAGAAAAATTAGGTTTGGGTTACAAACAACATTCAGCGATTCAAACTAAAATGTTTTGAGAGGAGCAAAGAGAGCTCTCGCGTTATTAGATTAGAACATAAACGTGATTTGCCCGGTTCATAACTAATAAGGAGACATAAAGTGTCCTCGCGAGTCGGTTGTCATGATACTCCGGCGCTCAGAAGCACAACAAACCCAACCTGTTTACCCAGTTTTAGTGATTTAATCTGTTCGCGAGTGCACTGAACATTTCACAACGGAATGCCAAATTAGGCAGAAAGAGAGAGCGTGAGATATGAATGCTGAATATGAATCTGTAGTGGTAGGGCTGTTTAACTGCGTCTATATGAAGTTTACAAGGATTGACCTCTGACTCACTGAGTTCTCATGATGAAACTTGTTCTGGGAGGCGCTTGAACAGCATTAAGCCTCGGAGAAACTCTGCAGCCAGGCTTCGAGTCGCGGGACAGAGTCTGTTTCCAGGTGCTGCTGAGGAACAGGTAACAGGTGAGGAACAGGTGAGTTCAGCTCCAGTCCGCCGCTTCTCTGGCGCAGCTGCGACTCCGCTTTATATCGGTTTGTCTGTAAACTAGCAACAATACTGGAATCTGAACACAAGTATTCGCTCACCTGTGATCAGCAGGTTATTACTGTCCAACAGTCTCTGCGGTTGAGTAAAGTCAACATAACGCGCGTTCAACACTGTAGAAACTTGGCAGAAACTCTTGAAAGTGTCACGTGGTGCTGAGTTAATCAATAGATGATTGAAACCGCAGCTAATGACTAATCACGTTTGCTCACCTTCATTATGTCAATATTAGGCAAAGTATTATAATTACTTGCTGTGATACTTCAGACTGAATCTGTGTCTCTCCTCGGGCAGGTGTGGAGATGATTCCTGTGAATGAGTTCCGGAGCATCACGAGCGAGCAGAACCCACAGTTCCGGGTCCTGAAGCCCTGGTGGGACGTTCTGTCCGAGTATCTGGGTATCGCGATGCTGATGATGGGGGTGTTCGGCTGCACGCTTCAGGTGGGACATCCATCCGATCCGGACACAACAGAGCTTCACATAATGCCATCAGATTACCAAGAGTTCCCATATGAGTCCGTGTCACACAAAACTGGCCTACTGAGGCTATTAATCAGTGACTAAGAAGAAGTAGTTCACATGGAAATTAAACTGTGTCATCAGTGTTCACTGAGAGTGGACAGTGACTCCACAACAAACGCCATCAAAGTATAATAACAGTCATCCATGCGACTCGCGCACTTTATTCAGAGACTTCTGAAGCCATATGAAAATGAACAGATTGAAATGTAGTTTCGTCCCCTTCACTGCAGCATCCAAACGTCACAAATGCTGCACGCAGACACATAAAACAGGTTTGGAATGACACGAGTTTGAGAATTATCATTTTAATGTGAACTATTCTTTAGAAAAGTACATATTTTTGTGTGTGTTGCTGTTGTTGTGGTTTGTCATTCAGTTCTCTGTGTTTTTCGGCTGTTCGCTCAGATTCACGTATCAGAAACCGTCTGCTTCCAATATCAGCCTGCAGAGACGTTCGTAGATGGTCACGTTACATGAAGTTATCATTGTAAAGGCCTTTGAGGCGGCTGCAAGACTAAACACCACTGTATCTCTGGAAGCTATTCTCTGTAGAAACGTGTTCCTGTTCTTGTGCGGCTGCATTCAAACACATGAGTGGCCGAGCAAAACGCATTTTCACACAAGCCCTTAAATGGATGTAAAACTAACGTATTAAATGTTAAAACTCCACAGTGGGGTTGTGTTGACAAATTAATCTTTTGTACAATTTTGAATGGACACTCCCAGCATGCTGAGTTGGCAGCACTGATAATATTTCACCCACAACAATTGTGTAACTGAATTATCACAGGTTAAAAAAATGCTTTTGAGACATTGCATTCAGAATCCACTTGGCGCAGTGCTCCGCGGTGGCACGTGAACGGGCATGAACGTCTGATCAGGAATGTGTGCAATAAAGAGAAGCGATTAGGCAAGAGCTTTAGCTGATTAGATAACGCGTCTCTGCGGTGTGTTTGCCATCAGCTCCTGCTGTGAGACCGATCTTCCATTCTTCCTTTTATTTGCCGCCAGCTGTCAGCTCCAGAAACATGCAGGTGTTTGCCGTGTAAATGTTCATTAGATGAGTGCCATGTTTCGTGTGTCATCGTAAAAATGACTTTGCGTTTCTCCTGCACCTCAGCGACCAGTACGACGCCCTGTACTCCAAACGCTTCGCCGTGTTTCTCTCGGAGGTCAGCGAATGCCGCTTACGGCAGCTCAACCTCAACCACGAGTGGACGGCTGATAAACTCCGCGCTCGTCTGACACGCAACGCCGCCGAGAGGCTGGAGCTGCCCCTGTTCCTGCTTCCAGGATTGCCAGACACCGTGTTCGAGATTTCGGAGGTCGAGTCGCTCAAACTGGAACTGATCAGTAACGTGACGGTCCCCGGAACCGTATCGCAGCTTACCGCCTTACAGGAGATCGTGCTGATCCACAGTCCGGCCAAGCTCCAGCTGGCGGCCCTCAGTCACCTGCGTGAGAATCTGAAGGTTCTGCGCTTGGGCTTCGAGGGTCCGGAGCAGGTGCCGCTGTGGATGTACACCTTACAGAGTCTAGAGGAGCTTCACCTGAGCGGCGCTCTGAGCGCTGAGCTCTCCCGCAGTCCGGCGCTGGACTCTTTACAAGACCTGAAGAACCTGCGAGTGCTGACCTTACGCTGCAAGCTGACCAAGATACCGCCCAGTATTGTGGATGTGTCCAGTCAGCTCCAGAGACTCTGCGTTCACAACGAGGGGACCAGGCTCCAGGTCTACAACAGCCTGAAGAAGCTGGTGAACCTGAGCGCTCTGGAGCTGACGGGCTGCGGTCTGGAGCGGATCCCCAGCGCCGTCTTCAGCCTGTCCCTACTGCAGGAGCTGGACCTTCGAGAGAACCGGCTCAGCACCGTGGAAGAGATCTTGAGTCTGCAGCACTGTCGCCGTCTGACCGTCCTCAGACTCTGGCACAACGACATCTCCTGCGTCCCAGAGCACATCAGCAAGCTCCGCGCGCTGGAGACACTGGACCTCAGCTGGAACAAGATCTGCAGTCTTCCACCGCGCCTCTGCTACTGCACCAAACTCCGACACCTGGACCTTTCCCACAACCAGCTGGCGTCTCTGCCCTCGGAGATCGGCGTGCTTCAGTGTCTGCAGTTCCTCTCGGTGGCCTTTAACTCGCTGGAGAGTCTCCCCGAGGAGCTGTTCTCCTGTAAGAGGCTGCAGGTGCTGGCGCTGGGGAATAACAGCATCTCCTCACTGTCTCCGCGGGTCGGGAATCTGGCTCAGCTGGTTCGGCTGGAGCTGAAGGGAAACCGGCTGGAGTCTCTGCCTGCGGAGCTCGCCGACTGTCTCTCGCTCAGACTGGCCGCTGTGATCATGGAGGACGGTCTGACGGACCTTCTGCCTCCAGACGTGAAGGACAGAATGAAGCGCAGATAATCACAGCACTGGATCGCTGCTCTTATGCTTTGAACAAATATAGCTGATTTACTGGATGCCATCGGTGGTATGAGCTCAGTAACGTGCTCTGATTACAGCAGATACAATCCTGACTCCACACATAAGTGACAGTGTTTGTGTGAAGCACTGAACTTTCACCAGACAGACTCGATAGACCAGATGCCCAGTACTACCTTCAGTTCAGTTCCAACAATATCAAGTGTTCCTGGAGATTTGCATTCGGTGCTTCAGGTGTGTTTGATTAGGGTTCGACCTGAACTTTTGCCATAGGGGAATTTTAACAGTAACTTAATAAAGTGTTAAAGCCAGCCCTACTGTGAGCTACACGGTTGTTGAGTGATGGTTTATGCTTTTGTTAAAGCCATCAGCACTTAATATTTTTTTAGTAATCATGTTTAACAGTGGACTTCTTGGTAAAAAAAAAAAAAACGATTTAACCATGATTCTGCAAAGAAATCTTGACACCAATCAGTGAATCACGACAAGCAAAGTGCACGAAAGAGCTCTTTAGCTCCGCCCACTCTCCCATGATGCACTGCGAATGACGTATTAGCCTCTCCACGCTTTTTGTGCATATGTGCTTATTCTGCAAATATGCACAATTAACATCTTTAAATCAACAGCTTCAGTAGTTTTTAATTAGTGTCATTCGCAATGGTTCATGGGATTGTAGTTCTTTCCTTCATTAAAGTCGTTAAATACACAGTCTTGTACCTTTTTTTGTACTTTATAGTTTTGACTCAAGGTTTGTAATGTTGTGATTTATCTGGTAGCTGGTTGGTTTAGTTTATGACTAAACACTTTAATGAAGACTTTTTAAAAATCCCTATGGGAAAAACTGATGGGAGCAATACTTCCAAACCCAAAGCCGCTGTAAAAGTGAGCGGACACTATTGACACGATATTAACACGACAGTAAGCTGGGCATGAGAACAGAGGAGCTGTAGATGAGATTAGTCCAGATGTGCTGAGGCCGTGTGTGTCCCTTTAGCCCAATTGATTCTGCATTTCTATTTTTTTCTCAGTAGTATTTAAGCTCAGATGCTTATCTATTGAAGTAAGTTCACTTGAGTGTTTAAACAGCAATACCGGAGTAAATCTGATTAGAAAAAAACAGCAGAGCTCTGAAAGCAAATGCATTTCTAAAAAATGAAGCCTCTGTGCCGTTTCCTGATGGTGGGTGTGGCTGAGCGAGCGGAAATTTCCACAGGTGTGTGTGTGTGTGGAGCTTTACCTTTATACCTGCTAGCATTCCTTTTCATCTCGTGAAGTACACAATTAAAAGCTCATGGACGTTCAGATCAGCCAACTACCTGAGCTGTAAATGTCATGTGACTCCTGACTCTTGAGCTGCAGGAAATTATGTCATGACAACACCGATTGGCTGATGACAAGAACACTCACTCTCTCACACACACACACACACACACACACACTCTCTCTCTCACACTCACACACACACTAACTCATACACACACACTCACTCACACTCACACTCTCACACACTCTCACACACACACAGTCGCAAAGCCTTCACTAGTGATGATCCTGGGCTGAGACGTCAAAGTTAGCACAATCAAGAACTGCGTCTACTAGAGTATAATGTAGTTGAGACTGAAAGTTACGTGCAAAACATTTTTTGTCAGAATATGCAAATCGTTTTAAACATTTTAAATAATTTTCAATATTTACAGCATCTGCCAGCAGAAGCTAACGTGACTAACCAGCGAGCCTTGAATCATCTGAAGCTTCAGTGACTCCCTCTGCTGGCAGACTAGAATAACCTCTGACCTTTCTCAGGTTCTAATAGAGAATTAACAGAAGTCTCTCCATCAGACTATAGTTTACAGTGAATGGGTTAGTCAGATCTGCATCTCTGAACTAAACTGTGGATCATTTTGGCTTCGTTCAGTTATTATATTTAGCAAAATTCATGAAATCAGTAAAATAGTACTTTACAACTAAAAGGCTGCATTTCTTTTCTTAATAGCAAGACTGTGGATGTCTAGACGAAATATATTTCTTAATATATGAATGATCAATATATTATATATCAATATAAAAATATATGGAATAATATATTGTGTAAATACATTACAATATATGGAATAATACATAAGGAATTGCCGCTTTCATATATTGAAAAATGTGACAATATATTTACTTATCACAATGTAATTTTATATTCAGTAATCCACTTTATAATATATTGATGTGCATGTGATATGTATATAAATATATTGAACATATTTACTCGTGCAGTATATACACACATATATGGAAATATATATTTCTTATGTTTAACAATCATTTACAATATACGTGTTTCATATTTGAAAATACAGCTAGTTTACAATAGCATAAGCACTAAAGACTATCACTGCTGACGAGTGCGCACACATTACCTTCGAAGTAAAGTAAGTCTTAATGGTCTAAATGTCAAAATAATACATTAAACACTGACAGATCTCCCAGTATAACACTGAGCAGAACACATTAAATAACACTTTATTTTAACATGTTTACTGTCCTTGAACAGTCAGAAGCATTCTGTGAATGTGTGTATATATATGTTCATTTATATGGGAACATGAATGTGCAATATGTTCCTAACAAAGGATCAAACTTTATGAATATTTGATGTATTTGTGTTGAGATTATATGGTCGGGTGTAAACTCTGAGGATGATTTACTCGCGGTGTATTTGGACTTTGTCCAGCGATCTCAAACACACTTATCCTGTATATAACAGCGGTTAGATTAGTCCATATCGCCACATTACAGAGAATCACTCGTGAAGATGACGAACTTCACGCAGCAGATACAGTGAGCGCTGTGCTGCTGGACAGAAGAGGGATCCTGAGAGCCCCGAGCAAACAAACCCTCCATTGTGTCTGCGTCTCTCGGAGTTGTAAAACACCCAGAAAAGCAGCGTTTCTGTTCAAAGCAAGCTCTGTGACAGCACAATGTTTGCCTTGTACAGTCGCACACATTCCTGTTCGGGTCAGCTCGAGCTCATCTTCTGGAGGAATATAGTTACACAGGAATTCAGTGTCAGATTTGACTGTAGGCTTGAAGTTCGTGATAATATACCAATGTTTGTTCAGTAATGTGGTGTAACTTGAGGAGTTGAGCCACATCACGTGAAAGATGTGTGGTCCTGAAATAAGAGATGCGTGGCATGACCGAGCGCCTGCCTAGAGTCGTGTGTGCTGATCGGTCCATGTGTTCGATAAGGGATCCATCTGCTGAAAGACATGATCATCTCCGCATCTACCACACGGCTAATTCAGACCAACTGATTTCAGTTTATTAAACACCTTCATAAATAACATCTGAAACACCACTGTAAACATACACGTTAATATACAAATCTTCAATAAATAAGTCAAATAAACTCATAAAATGTTATTTACAGACGTTAAACCGCAAAATAAAAAGCGAGAATTCATCAGTGAAATAATTTCACAAGAATAAAACTGTTAACAGTTCAAGTTTCTGCACAGAAATGTTTTGTAAAATACCGAAGAAAGAGTGATGTACACGTGTGCCGGATCCGGTGCTACATATTCCAGCTAATATTGTGAGCTCAACAACAAACTATCGAAACATCCAACTTATTCATATAAATACAACCCGCTGATGAGCGCCGAGGGGAATAGAGCCGCACAGTTCTTCAGCTGGAGCTGGTTGCTATCAAGCGCTCCAAAAGCTCCAGCATCTCCGGAGCGCGAGCGTCCCGTGCCACATCCAGAGCGTCGGCCCCGCGGCTGTCCCGGTGCCCCAGGTCCGAGAGCGGGGCCAGGTACTCCACCACGTCCCCGTGGCCCTCGCGGATGGCGATGTGGAGGGGCAGGGCTCCGCTGTGGTCGGGGACGTTGACCGAGGCGCCGTGGTCCACCAGAACCCTCAGCGTGTCCAGGAACCCGGTGCGGGCCTCGTCATGCGCAGGGGTCACGCCGCAGCGGTCCTGGATGCTCGGGTCAGCGCCGTGGTCCAGCAGCACACACGCCACACTTGTGCAGCCCATCATCATCACCTGCAGCACAAAACACGCATGAAACCACGCGAACACGTGATCATATAAAATGCAGATAATCAATGATAGTCATGACATCATCGCGGCCGGAAGCGGAAGCGCTGTGAGATCTATAATTACATGCCATGAATGTAAAACAGCAGTTCACCTGCAGCGCGGTCTTCCCGAACTCATTGAGCGCGTCCGGATCGACCCGGTGATCCTGCAGCATCCGCCGCAGCGCCTCCACATTCCCCCGCGCCGCCGCCGCGCCGAGACTCTTCCCGCAGCCGAGTCCGTCCAGAACCATCATCCGAAGCACCTGCCGATCACACCACACCTGATCCGATCTCTCCGAGCACCTGATTCAACAGCAACATGAACGGCGTGAAGAGCATGTGAAGCGCTTACCGTGTCTCTGTGCGTCGCAGTCCGCGGATGAGCGACCGTAGGCTGTTGTTGTTTACTCAGATCCGCCAAAACAATCACAAACAAACGCGCCGAGCTGAGCGCCTTTACATCGCGCGCCTGACCGACAACAGCGCCGCACGACGAGCGCTCGTCAGCCAATCAGCGCTCACACACGCCAACGCGGCTGCAGTAATTGGACAAAACGGAGTAGTGCTGATAGGCGTTGCTACAGTATCGCCGTGGCAACTGCGCCAGCGACCAATGAGAAAGTAGGGCGCAGAAGGCGGGCGATTTGAGAAGGTTTATTTGTAAACTGTTGCGTTCGTTCACACACACACACAGAGAGAGTGAGTGAGTGAGTGAGTGAGTGAGTGAGTGAGTGAGTGAGTGTGTGTGATGTGTGTGTGTGTGTGTGTGTGAGAGAGAGAGAGAGAGAGAGAGAGTGGGCAGTCAGTGCATGACACACATTCATACGTCATCAGGAATAATAAACATGTTTAGGCATATATAAGTAATTTCAGGACAAATATATTAAATTTTATTATTAAACAGAAATGATTGACAACATGTTCCATGATTTGGTGCAAAAAGCACTTGAAAATACATTGTGATTGAAATGCTGAGTCTGCTTACATTCAACCAACAATTTATACAATAATCTTTTTTTCTAATGAAATTCTGGCAGGATAAAATCAACAAAAACCATTTCATAAACTTCCTCTAAAAACTTGCTGTGCAGTCCTCATGCGTCTCATTAGCTGTTTGTCCTCAGCTGGTAATCTAAACACATGCAGATATAAATAAATGATGATAATTAATCCCAATCATCCTCTTCACATCTCCTGATCTGCTGCACTGCCTGTCTTTTATAAAAACCTGCTTTGTGAGAGGATAGACGTCAACTATTCAGTGTTTTCCTTTTTTTCAATTTGTTCTATGTTGTAATTATGAGGCAAGGCAGGAGAAGTATTGCACTAATGGTCAAAGCAACGAGTTTCTAGCAGGACCTGATGGATATAGCCCTTTTTTTCTTTCTGTATATGTATATTAATATTCATTTAATTTTGTTTAGTGTGTCTTTGTCTGTAGATTTAGTTTAAATGATTGAAAATATGCATGTTTCACATGGTTGCTTGTTTTTATGAATTAGAAAGCCTAATCAAATATGAACCATAAAAAAAAAAAGCCCTGCCTTGTTAAAGTTCTGCAAACGGCGCTCACCTCCGCTCTGTGTGATGTAGCGGACCCACGGCAGCGCCTGATAGCCGCTCTTCTCAATGATCTTCATGTATCGCACCTTCCCAATAAAATAGATTTGACATGAGTTGCAGAACTGATCACACAGTCTCACTTCAGATCTTAAACATGATGACACGAGTGTAAACAGAGTGATAGTGAATGCAAACACAAGCAAATGCAATGCAAAGTCACGCTCACACCTGTATGCCGGACACGGTGTAGTACGGGATCTCAAACTTGACGGTGATCGGAGGCCTACCCTCCAGCTCGTGATTCTCCACACTCGGCAGACTGAAGTGAGCGCGCATCAGAAACTCCTTTCCACCCTGTCGACGACACCAGAGCTCAGATTTACACAGATCCAAGTGTGTGAGGGTCAGAAACACATCTGTGATCGCTTTCTCACCGGGAAGGACTTAATGCTCCACACCACCAGGTTCTTCTCAGGAACGTATTTAGCGTGACCTGTGCTGGTTTTGAACTTGGGAGAGTCGGCATCGCTCGGCACCGGCACGTAGATCTCCACATTATTGGCCACGGACTGCTTTTTAAACTGGCCTTTAGCCTGAAATGCAGAGAGAGAGAGAAAGAGCGAGCGGATCACGCCTAGAAATCAGTCTACACATACTGAACAATGCTGAACAATGACTCTAAAGCTGTAGATTTAGACATAAAATGTCTCCAGTGTGGAGTAATGAAGAAAGTCTTGCTCACAAACCTTCACCATGATCTCCACCCGACTGTGAGAGAACTTCTCAATAACAGACTCGATCCAAATGAGCGGCTTCACCTGCAGACAAACCAGAGATGGAGAAGATGAACAGAGAGACTGACACACATCGGCTGTGCGACGCTGCTGCAGATCTTCTCCAGAAGTCACATTGTTTATTTTATGGACAAGTTTTAAGATCTAAAACAACTACGGTCAGGACTAAACTCACTCCTGTTCATACACCGTGAACAGATAAAGGCGTTCAGTAGCTCTAATTATCATGAGTTGAGTTATTGTGTGCTGTAGGAACAGAACTGTAGTCAACAACTAGCTGTCTAACGTCACAAGCATCATGGTTATTCTTTTTAAATTTTTTTAATGTAAAACAGCAGAAAACAGGTCAACTGTGTGGCCGCAGAGGAAGATAAAACAGGTGTTTTGGGAGAGAGAGGTTAAAACAAAAACCCTAAGAGGCTGAAAGCAGCAGAAATATCCCAAAATGCTGCACAGGATAAAAACGAAGTAATAGATGCTTTCCAAAGTCGTCATCGTTACTGTGGTTATCTGTTGTTATCTGTTGTTATGGTTACAGGCAATACTGGTGAGGAACTAGAAAATAAAACAGTAATTGACTTCAGCTAGCCATTATTCAATCTGCTCGTGTCTGTTGTTGTGTAACAATCGTGTTAGTCGATACACAATCTGGCGCTTACGTGTGTGTTGATCCGGTACGACATGAGCTCAGACTCTCCGTCAGGCGGGATGAAGGAGATGGTTCTGTCGCTCTCGAACCGGGACAGACGAACACACTGATGAAACTTCACATCCTCCATAGCCACCGACTTCCCTTTGTCTCCTGCACACACACACGCATGCACGCACACACGCGCACACGCACACAAGCACACACACACATTTGCAGGCCCGACCCTCATCCTGCACAACACGAAGTTATCCTGGATGCTCTCCTCCTCCAGCTCCTTGAAGTACTCCGTGAACACCTGAACACACGGCACAGGAGAACCACGCTTGTTTCTCAGCATGACATTCAATGCGTTCGGTTAAATCTAAACCTCGCTTGAAGAATCCACGTCGGTAGTTAATGAAGGTCCACGAGTCGTCTCGGACTCACCTCCACCAGCTTGTACAGGAAGGCGTAGACCAGAGACGCATTGGAGTTCTTGTTGGTGGTGGCCACCACTGATGTTATCGGCAGGTTAAGCGAAACAAACACACGTTTACTGACTGAGACACCATTAAACGGCTCTACTGAAGATCATTACTCGACAGGATTCCACACGATCTCATTTGCACTGGTTTTTACAATCAGATCCTGAAGTTCATGATGTAAAGGATACAGTAGAGATTGCTGTGTTTGATCCACAGGAAGTGGACGTTGCCGTGTGACATCACTGGGCAGACAAGCCCCTCCTCTTCCTGTTGCATTAGCAGGGTGAAGAAGTGGTCGATCTCTGACATGTCAACATCGCCTTTATAGTTGCGGCATATCAGCACCTGATGGGAGGACAAGTTAGGAAACATGCGGCATTTCATTTCATTATGTTCGATCTCGCCATTCATCTCTCAGAGACTCTTTTAATGGGGCCATCTGTAATAATACTCCTTCCTCTCTGGAGAGGAAATGACATCTGCTCATTCACTGTTTGTAAAGCAGTTCCAGTAGAAAACATTTTCAAGAGAAATGAAATACTACCATATGACATTAAATAATAGAACACTTTTTCTCCATTGAAGACTGCTGTTGTTACAGTCGATTGAAGCAGACAGCTGTAGACATGATTAAACACATAATTACAAACAGCGGCTTGCAGGTGTTTCACACTTAATTAAATCAGGTGAAATTATCTACTAATATCTTCTATAAAGCTGCTCATTAAGAGTCATAATTACCTTCCCCTTCAGATCCAGCACGAACACGGCTGACGCAGACATGCTCAACGCTTAGAAATCACCGGATCCGGTTTAAAGTAGGTTTAGTGACATTCCTGTATTTACCGGAGACTTGTGGACTCACCTCGATCGCCAGTTCCGTTTCCTGCGCGGTGACGTCACGCAGCGCCAGGTAGAAGCGTGCCAGCGATCACGTGACTGCGGAGGCGCCAGTAGAGGGCGACATCAGCCACCTGCAGCACCAGAAGCTGCTCAAGACGCAACCTTCAAACCTCTAAAGCTTAAATAAGTAGGCGAATTCTTTTTTTATGTATAATAATAATAAAGATAATGATGATGATGATAATAATGATAAAGATAATTTGATTGTTTTATGTAGTCGCCATTTACCATTATTACTCTTTCTAACCCAGACACACTGACTGAGAAACAGCACTATTCATCGCTTACAATATCATCCTTATTGTCCTGCTGTGAGAAAACTGAACATGGTCATTTATGTTTTTACGTCTATTAAAGATATTGTGTGTGCCTGTGTGCGTGTGTGTGTCTCTCTCCG